GGTCGTTGATTGCGGAAAAATTGACCTGAGAACCCAGGCAGGCCAGGGTTCCAGCTACCTCTAATGTCGTAGTGACAGAATCGACCTTACGAGTCAAAACACTCGCATATTGTATCCCGGCCGCATCCAGTTTGTTGTCATCTTTCAGAATTTGACGGATCGGACCCGACAATGCTCCATGAGGGCCAACCTCCAGCAAGACATCAACGTTGACCTTGCGTGCACCGTTTGGCCGCCTGGCCCGTCTGTTATTAGGGGCCGCAAACATCGATTTCTGAGTACTGGTTTCAAAACAAAGCGCCCTGACGGAGTCAACGAATCTGACTTGTCCGAGAAGATTCCTAGTCCAATATTGAGAGCCAAGATCGGAGGCTTTAACTTCAGCTCCTGTCACCGATGAGAAAAAGGAGACAGGATGCTTTCCGAATTTGCTTCCAATCCGTGGTCGAATGTTCGATATCAGGTCCAGATATTCTCCGCCAACTAGTTCCATGTGGTGGGAATGATATGCAACATCCACTACCAGACGTCGGCAGAAGAATTCTTTCTCCCTTAATACCTTCTCAAGCTCGTCAATAGCTTCAAAGTCTCCCGAGACTGTAACGCTGGAGGGGCTGTTAATGCATGCCACGACGGCTTTCCCAGACTTCAATGTGTCCAGGAACGGTTCTATCTGGGCGGGTGACAATCCGGCAGCGAGCATCCCTCCCTTCACTTCTTCGTTGTGCGATAGCTTGCTCGCTGCAACGCCCCTATAGTATGCAACGGATATAGCGTCCTCCATGCTTAACGCTCCGATGGCGTACGCTGCGGCTATTTCGCCACTGGAATGACCAGTAACGGAATCTGGCTGTATATCCCATGAACTTAGAAGGTCGACAAGTGCGACTTGAAGTGCTGTGCAGATTGTTTGACTGTGTAGAGGATGGTTGAGCCGTGATGCATCTTGATTCTCGAGAATCTCACCTGTTGCAGCATGATTAGCAGAGCTTCTTTATTAGTCAGGCCATGACCCTTGATTCAACGTCTCGGATCCGGTTCTCACCTAGGGCGGAAAATGGAGCCTCGAGTCGAATCAAGTGTGCATCAATTCGTTCCATTGACTGGCGAAAAACGGGATATGCTCCCACCAGCTCCCGTCCCATTCCACACCATTGCGCTCCCTGGCCTGTGAAAACAAAGCCAACCACTGGCTTTCGTGTGGCCTTTCTAACCCTGATACTACCTTCTAAGGCCTCCATCACGCTGGAAGCTGAGTTGCCAGTAACCGCTGCTCGACACATCAGGGTAGTACGCCGTTGATTCAAGGTGAAGGCCAGATTGCTCATGAACTGATCGTCAGCTATCGATTCTCTTTCGGAAAGATAGCCTCTTAGATTTTCTATCTGCTTTGCGATGGAATGATCATCAAAACCGGAGAGCATAAAGAGACGCGTCCGTATGGGTGATTCATCACGGCGGCCGTTGGGAGTTTGCGATCGCTCAAGAGCCTTCCTCAGGAAAGGTGTACGAGGTTTGCCAACCAGCGCTTGTGAACCGTGCGATTGTAGGTATCCATAGGTGTCTTCGAGGATAACATGTGCGTTGCTTCCCCCGTATCCGAAGCTGTTTACCGACACGCGATGAGGCCCTGTGCTTTCCCATGGTTCCGGATCGAGTTGAATCTGAAATTGTTATCGCTCAATTCACTCATGAAGAACAATATGGGAGACATGCCTTAAGCTTCCATTCGTCTAGCAGGATGCGTGGGTTGAGGGAAGTGAAGTTGCGGTTGGGGAGGAAAGTGCGGTTCTCAAGCATCAACACTGCCTTGATCACGCCCGCGACTCCGCTTGTTCCCTCCAGATGCCCCACGTTTGTTTTGATGGACCCGATGCGCAGTGGTTTGTCTGAGTTTCTATCGGCGCAAAACACTCTCGCGAGCGCTCCTGTCTCGATTGGATCTCCTGCTTGAGTTCCTGTGCCATGTGTTTCGACGAATTCTGTACCATGTGGATGAAGACCTGCCATGCTGTAAACATGGCGAATCAAGGCCTCTTGTGACGCTCCACTCGGGAGAGTGATGCCGGGAGTTCTGCCATCTTGATTCGACCCAGAACCCCTGATGACAGCTCGGATAGGGTCTCTATCTCTGATGGCGACTTTGAGCGGCTTCAGAATCAAACACCCAATCCCTTCGCCACGAGCATATCCGTTGGCCTTCTCGTCGAATGTGTAGCAGCGTCCATCCGGTGACAGAAACCTGGATACTGTTTAATGCAATGACAATCAAGTGTTACATGCGAACCTACTTCATCATGGTCATTGTGGACATGAATTCGTGGCTGAGAATCACGTTTACTCCGGCCGCAATTGCCATCGCAGCATCCCCGGTGCGCAACGTTTGACACGCCAAATGCAGTGCGACCAGACTCCCCGAGCAGGCGGTATCGACTGTGACGCTTGGGCCCTTGAGGTCGAAGAAGTATGACACTCGATTGGCCATCATGGCACGAGACTGGCCAGCATTGGTGCATTGATACATGGGGATAGCATCGGGGTCGCGTAGAAGGAGATCCGTGTAATCCGCATTGAAAGAACCGACGAAACAGGATGTTTGGCTTCCCATGATCTCGGGAAGAGGTATACCGGCTGGCAGGTGTGAGTCCTATCCAATGACCTCTATGCTGTAGGAAACAGACCGTTCTCTAGTCCTTCATAGGTCACTTCGAGCAATAACCGCTGCTGGGGATCCATCGCCTGAGAAGTGATATGATAAGCTTGATAGGACCCAATTGTACAGATACTCTGTGGAAAGGCCACAAACCGCTGCCTCGTCGCTCGTCATGTTGAAAAAGGGCGCATCGAAAAGGGATACATCTTCTGTCAGAAAGTGGCCACCTTGGACATTGATCTGCAGATACTGTTATCGCCTATCTCATTTGGCCGTAATCGTGACTTACAGTGCCGTGCCGCGCGTGGTCTGGGTGGTAAAATGCATGACTGTTCCATCTCGACTCGGGTGTCTGACTCCATGCTTCCCGGCCTTCGAGTATCATTTTCCACAGCTTCTCAACGTTGCTAGCATCTCCGGGCCCACGGAATCCCATGCCAATAATGGCAATAGGCATTGAAGCGTCGTCCAACGAGTTCGAAGCTCCATCTTCTATGTCAACATCAGGGGCAGAAGGGAGCCGGACCGGTTCCCCAGTCCCTTCGAAGGAGTTGATAGGCATGGTAGAAGACTACGAATGGCGCACCCATACGACAACGTTGACGTACTCTCATGGAACAGAGATCCGGCAAGGGTTCGAGACAATCATTAAATCGCAGAACCAGCAGGCAAATATACATGGCTTGGTTATTATCCGATCTTCAAACCTGAAATTCGTGATCTAAGGAAATCCAGAGAATGCTCCGTACCAGTACACTGAGAGAAATCGGCATTGAAACCAAGGAATGCAGGAGTGACATGCGGAATATTCTATTCTGTGCAAGGTAGGACAGAAAGAAAGGCCAGGGTACAGTCACCATATCGCCAAAGCTTCGATAGCCAATTTGCGGATCCCTGCAGCCATCAGAGCAACATTTTTTCTATCGTTAGGAATATCGTGGGCCTTGCTGTGCACTATCCACGTGGACTTTGATGGATCACACAGCCTGTACAATGCAAGCGAATACTCGAACAAGGGATCCTTCGCCCCAGCGATGCTTACAGTCGGTATCTTGATATAGCCATCAAGGTCTGAGTCGATTACTGGGTTCTCACCGGGGTTCATGCGGAACGGTGGTAGGGAATTGATGAATATGGCACATCGAAAGAGAGGTGGTTCATGCGGATATGTCTTCGCATGATGAATGAGAAAGCCCGAAGCCAGGGTTCCTCCGTGCGAGAAGCCTAGGATACCATCAAAGGGACCGTCCTCGTCGATGATGTCATAGAGGAAGTTGTATGCTTCGAGCAAGGATTCCTCCTCGCTGCCGTCAGGATCAGAAAACGACCGGGGAAACTTGTAATAGCTGTAGTAGGGACCCTCATAGAATCCTGCGATGCCAGGACCCGGCACCGAGTCAATGTCGCCTTCGACAAAATAAAATGTCGCCGTGTTGTCTCGTCGGAGTTCGGTCATCAAGCCATCTGTCTCGTAAGTATGTGGCAGCAGAGCTGAAAGTTGTGCTACTTACTCAGCTGAGATTGCAAGATCTGTCGCAATGTCAGCGAGCAGGACGATATGGAATGCTCGTGTCACATACCTTGGTGTTTGTGCCCCAACCATGCAGGCAAAGCAATTTGAGTGGCATCGTGGCTGACTGTTAGCTGGGATGTTCTTCTATCTGGTCTTTTGACTGGATGAAATTCGCCGCCTATACTCAATCACGACTTGGCTGGGTTTGATGGAGAGCATCGCGATGCTTTATATCAACTTTAGCCTTCCTTCTACAAGATTCGATCGGACATCAAAACCATCCCCTGAATCACTTCGGTCCTTTCGTCCCCTGGATGCCAGGATACCATGGAGGTAGATGCAGCCGCCCTTTCAAAAGTCACCGTCCCCAATCTAGTACGACTGATACAACGTGTCCATATCTTGCCGAGTCTGTATTCCGTGTCATGGCTGACCCTTTTAGTCGACAAACGAGCTTATTTGGCTCGCTGTGATTTGACTTTTGTTGTTTTGCTTGTTTCGTGATATATTTCCTTGAAGGCACTGACGCTGTAACGCGAGGACGTTCCAGATAATCTGCTTGCAGTATTAATCTCTCTTATATTGGGGTCGATGATTATTTTACATATTCATAAAACATCTGCCACTCAGCTCAATGGAGTTGTGTTTCGTAGCGTCCCTTCCCAGCGAGGTGGAGTTTATGAACAATGACGTTGGTGCATGTCGATCGATCGGATGATGGGCTGACCGGAGTACATAAAAACCCCTACGCTCATCAACATAGACAACTTGTGAAATTGTCCGAAAAGCAAGGATCAATACTCTACTTGAAAATACCTTTCAACCTCAAGCACGATGTCGTGGTCATTTGCACTCCCTCAAGTGTTTTTCACCTCCCCAGTCCTGGCTGTAGCAACGCCTATTGGGGTGGGATCCCTGGTGGGATATCTGGTCAACAGTATGCCGCTCCTTCATCGGCGATAAGATATCACTAGTTTTTTATGGCAGACCAACTGGCACATACTTACTCCATACCTCTACAAAATTAGGCCGCACAAAAGAACTCTACAGCCGTCTCCGCCAACCGCCCCTACGCCCTCCCGCCTGGGTCTTCGGGCCCGTGTGGACCATCATCTACGGAATGATGGGCTACGCGGCCCACCACGCAACAACCTCCGCGACCCTCCTCACACCCACAACGGCAGTAGCCTCGTCCCAAACGTTGTACACGACGCAGTTGATCCTCAACTACCTCTGGATGCCGTTGTTCTTCGGTGCGCGGAAACCTGGGTGGGCCCTTGCGGATATCGTAGCTCTGGGCGGTACGGTCGGGAAACTGATGGCAATGTGGTGGGATATCGATCGCACTGCGTTTTGGATATGCTCCCATATGCGGGTTGGCTCTGCTTTGCGACATATCTGAATGTTAGCGTTGGGTGGTTGAACAAATGGGATTTTGACAGTCGTGATGTACGATAGTTGCGGGGTGCAGAATCCAGTTTTCCATGGCCATAATAATCTAATAATAATCGGTCACTTGCATTTGGAGTATTCCAGCAGCTGAGCTGCGTGTTGGACGAAAATAGAACACATATTGATGCGACTTTAATTCGCGTCGTTGGTCCCGCAAGAGCATAGGGAGGTAGCACGGATCTCGAGTCTGGACTGCGCTGTGGACGAGATGATCTGCCCGAGGTGGGTAATTTGACGGGTAAATTGGCTGGAACAAGGCAAGTTCACCAGCCCATCAGGATGCTCCGATAGACCACATTGCCGGTCGAGTCCGCTGCAGCCACGGCGCAAGCCTAGAAATCAGAGATTTTCTCTGCAGCTTCCACCGGAGCTTCGGTGATTCGTGGTGATTCTGTCATCTTCGCCACTGCCGAGTCCCGACCCACAGTCAAGCACCTTATTCATCTTTGTGTATCAGGATTGTGCCAATGGTTCTCCACTGGTTGCGTGGATTGCAGTGTCATTGAGTTTGGGTCTTTGAGCGTCGAGTCCTTTGACACTGATCGAATGGAGGATAGGTAGTAGACTGGTTGGGTTCTAGAACAATAGATTGGCGACACCGCGTATCAACAATCATCAGTAGTAAAATGTAGCGATCTTGAGCTGCATGGAAACTGTTGTAGATCGTCGAGAATAGAAGCCATAGTAAAGAGTGCTATTGATAAGGATCATCTGTCCAAGACCCTCCGAAACACTGACAGGTTCAATTAATCAATGCCCCTCCACCATGAGATCATCGTCTTCTTGTCCTCTCTTCAACCTCACAACAATGAACTCTGCGCCGAGAATTGACTTTGTTTCTTTAAAAAGTCAATGGCTTTATTTCAGCTCTTGCAAGACCTTCAATCTTTGAGACGAAAATCTGTTCTAGACTCAACTTATTTTTGGTTCGCCTCTCACACGCCCTCCCACTCAGTCTCATCTCTGGTTCCTCTCCACACTCGTCCATCCTCTCTGCTTCTTCGCTGCCTTTCCTTAACCCATTAACACCACTGCATTCCTCGATTTGTCATATCCATTGCGCCATCATTGTATGTATTTGTACGGTGCTTATTCCTTTTAATCTCTATCCGTTCCTCCACCGTTCATCCAGACATTCGTTCATCGTCTCCTGCCCTGTTCACTCTCTTCCCGGCATTCCCATCAACTTTATTGCAACGATAATTGACATTTGGAGTGCATTTGCCTCCCCATGTCGGTGACTCATCATGATAACGAAAGTTACGAGTTGCTCACCAATCCAGAGTCTTTAGAGCCAACCGCCATTGAAAACCGCAACAGTCATGGCCGCAGTCTCTCACAGCCGGCCAACGCCGAAGCGCTGGAGAGTCACCACCTCGGACTACCCGGCGAACTCTCACGACCGCATCGAGTGAGGTTTCGATCTATCAGCCAACATCGTGATGCCGACAATACGGAGACTACCGAGAAAGTCTACTCGAATACCTCCGACAGCTCCACCCGGACGCTGCTCAATTCCGCACCACGATCCACAGACGTTACCGATATGCTAAAAGCAGAGCAATTCGATGATGAGACAGATATAACATCGAGATACGATGGGTCTGGTTACCCCAGCACGAATTATCCGCCTTCTACCCCCGAGCGCATCTCCGAAGACTCTACAACCAGGGAGCGGACGCCGAACCGATCCAAGTCTGTCAAACAAAGATGGAAGGAGGCAGGTCAGTTGATTAGGCAAAAGACGGTCCGTTTGGGAGAACGCCTGGGTAGACCTCTGGATGACGGCGAGGCGCTGGGAGCCTCCCTTTTGCCTGAGGACCTGGAAGGTGGGATGCCGATACGCAGGGTCCATAGCCAGTACCGCATGCCTGTGGGCGATGATACGGACGATGAGAACCGACCCAACCCCAGCGCAGAGGCTCACCGTCTTGTTCGACGGATGACGCAACACAATAATCTGCGCCATCGCAAACCGAAACCTGCGTACCAACGTTCTGGCCAGAGCACTCCCGAGCGTCCCAGTTCGTGGTACGATTCCTACCGTCCTCTATCCTTCAGCGGAGGAGGCGGGATTTTGTCTCAACTGCTTAAGCTGCAAGCTGCGCAGAATGAAAAGGATGGTTTGTCGGCCACGGATGATTCCGATGATGGCTCTCCCTTGTCCTCGGGAGCTACAACGCCCAAGTCAGGATCGGCAACCCCCAAGTCGGGTGCAGTCACACCCAAGAAGGAGAAGGTCAAATGGTACAAAAAACCGCACCATCGATCGACTGCTTCCCTGGTGGAAGCATCGATGAATTTGAGTCGGACCACCTTACCGTCGTCCGCCGATGTTCTGTCAATGACACAGCAGCAGAAGCGGGGGAAGAAGAAGGCTTATCGCAAGCATCGGTTGGAAGATGAGATCAAGGTGACCGTACATATTGCAGAGATCCTGGCACGGCATCGGTATATCATGCAGTTGTGCCGTGCGCTGATGCGGTATGGTGCGCCGACGCACCGATTGGAGGAATACATGACCATGACGGCGCGGGTCCTGGAGGTCGAGGGACAGTTCCTGTATCTGCCCGGTTGTATGATCATGTCCTTCGATGACCCTGTTACTCGAACGGCCGAAGTCAAGCTCGTTCGTTCGACGCAGGGGGTCGATCTGGGACGATTGGCTGAAACGCACAACGTTTACAAAAATGTCGTTCACGACCTGATCGGAGTCGAAGAAGCGATCCAGGAACTTGACGAAATCATGAAGCGCAAACCGCGTTTCAATAAATGGATCCTGGTTCCGGTGTACGGTCTGGCTGGCGCCGCGGTCGGCCCCTTCGCCTTCGACGCCCGGCCCATTGACATGCCTATCATCTTCATTCTTGGGTCGCTCGTCGGTCTGATGCAGCACGTCATATCTCCCCGCTCCACCCTCTATTCCAATGTGTTCGAAGTGACAGCAGCAGTGTTGACCTCGTTCCTGGCACGCGCATTCGGCTCGATCCGTATAACTGTGGACGGCCAAAAACAGTCCCTCTTCTGCTTCTCCGCTCTGGCACAGTCCTCCATCGCCCTGATCCTACCGGGTTTCATGGTCCTGTGCAGCAGTCTTGAACTCCAATCCCACCAGATGATTGCAGGTTCCATCCGCATGGTCTTCGCCATAATCTATTCCCTCTTCCTTGGCTACGGCATCACAGTCGGCACCACCGTCTACGGCCTCATCGACGGCAACGCCACCTCCGAAACCACCTGCCGTGACCTCTCCATCTACGGCAGCAAGTACATACAACACTTCATCTTCGTCCCCGTCTTCGTCATCTGCCTCGCCGTCATCAACCAAGCCAAATGGAAACAAGTTCCCGTCATGATCTTCATCGCAACCTGCGGCTACATCACCAACTACTTCAGCACAACCAAGCTCGGCTCCCGCTCCGAAGTCGCCAATACCGTCGGTGCATTCACGCTCGGTATCCTGGGTAATCTCTACAGCCGCTTATGGCACGGTCACGCAGCTACCGCCATTCTACCGGGTATCTTCGTCCTGGTGCCGTCAGGGCTGGCCTCCTCGGGCTCCTTGATCGCCGGCATCAACTATGCGAATCAAGTCCGCGAGAATCTGCACAAGGGCGGCAATGGCACCGATACGAGCAGCCAGGAGACGTCTATCGCTAGCTTAGGTTTCGGAATGATCCAGGTAGCGATCGGTATCACTGTGGGATTGTTCATTGCGGCGCTGGTTGTATACCCGTTTGGAAAGCGCCGGAGCGGGCTTTTCAGTTTCTAATCGTTTCTTGCTACGTGACATAATATGTATTTTAGCGATTTTGGGATTATGTTATGGGGGGCTGCATTTATGTTTCGAGATGTCCTTCATTTGAGCAGTACTTGGCGATACGTCATATAGATATCATGATTGCTTTCTGATGAGTATATGATTACGGGACTTTATATTCCAGTAGTTTCAGGATCTGCTAGGCTTATGAAAGACTAGTAAGTTTGTCATTCAAGTTGATGGGTTGTTCTCAGAGACGTCGAAAGTGGCTGCATTTCGAACGTTATTAAGTAAATAAGTATTACAACGCGTCCCTGACGCTACGGCTGTACTAGAAAAAGACCGTCGAGAATCTGTCCCTGCAGACGACTCAACTCCTCATACGACAGAAACTCCTTCTCGGCATCAAGTCTCTTCTTCGCATCCAGCGCCCATTCCAGCCGGGACCCAACCTCGGAAGGCGCAGGACCAAGATTCAACGAAGGCCTTGGGGTCGTGGGTTTGCTTGCCCCCGGTGAGTCCTGCTCCCCGGGTAATCGAGCCCAATCGGGTAATGGGGGGACTACAACCCCCTCATTACCCGCGTCGTTGCCTTCATTACTGGGAGACTTGTCGTTGTTGTTGTCGTCGCTGCTACTACTGCTGCTGCTTTGGCTGCTGCCTCGGGGCCTGCGGGGCACACACACGCTTGGCACGGCTGGGGTCGATGTGGTGGGTTGTGTAATCGTGGGCTTGGCTGGCACGACGACAGCCACGGCCGGGTACTGTGGTTTCGGAGGCGGTGGGCCTGGTTTGTGTTCGAAGGCCCGGATGCCATCGGGTAGAGTTTGGATGACAATATTCCGCTCCTTGAGTTTGGTGGGACAGATGTCGCTTTGGCCGGAATGTCCGGGCTGCCTGCAGACCGAACAGTGGGGCTGGACACCGGCATCTTTCTGTTTGGAAGGATTCATTGATGGTCTTCCGCGACGCTTTGTGGCTGGAGCCCTGCACTGGCCAAAGTTGTCGAGGTCTCGCAGCTCGAGCGGCATCGTAATGCCGGTGTAGATCTGTTTGTATGTGCTAATATGATATGCCGGGGGGACGAAGTCGTTGATGGGGCGGGAAGTGGTCGCAATGGCAGCGAGGGCGTGGCGGCATGGTAATTGGAGATCCTGCCAGTCGAGGCAGCTGCATGTCCGAGCATCCAGATCGACGGCGAAGCCTACGGCTTTGTTGAACACGGTGAACTGCTCCTGCGAACTCGCCACTGCCGTATAAGTCCGAGAGAGTTGCTTTTGTCGCGCAATCCATTCCTGAGCAAAGTCGGCCAAGGTGTTAGATCGCTTGAAGTCAATCTCCCGGCAGTGATGAAGTCGGTCAGTGATGTTGAGCCAGATTGAATATAATGCTCGTAGAACAGGCAGGTTGCGTGTGTTCAGCCATAAGAAGTGCAGAGATTCCATGGTCGTCATGGACAGTTGCTCATACCGAGGAACGGGCAAGGCGTGCTTGGCCCACCTTTGACGTGGGATCGACTCGATCCACTGTTTCGCGAGCGGGTGTTTGATTTGAGCTATTGCCTGCGCGAATATAGGTTCCGATTCCGCTCGCGCAGCTTTCCAGAATTGCTTGCGGACTTCCTCCTCGGGACGAAACTTTTCCATTAGAGTTTGAGATAAATATTCGCAGCAATACATCATGGCAACAGTAGCTAGCTCTTGGGTGACGGCATCATCAATCCCCAGCCGAGGGTTGAGCAACAGCGCAGTACGCGGACTATCAATTTTCGGAAAAGCTAGGCGCATATGGCGCAGGAAGAAAGCCCAGGAATCCACCTTCTCATCGGGCACAACCGCCCACGCCAGTGGCAGAACCTGATCATTCGCATCTAATGTCGCAGCCACGAGAAGTGAAAAGTCCCACTTCGTCTTCCAGGGCGCGCGGTCAATGGTCAAAAATCGACGGCAGTGGGTATAAGCGTTCAACGTCGCGGCCGGCGCGACAAAACAGCGATGAAAAACGTCATTCTTCGTCTCCATCTTCCAGTATCCGGCGTGATCGACCTTGGCAAGCCTTGACAAGAATGCGGGTAGCTTTTCAAAGGATTCAGCTGCATCTCCGTACAGACTACGCTCAATCGCTTTCAGCGTCCGATATCCCTGGTGGTATTGGATCGGATTACCCCTGCGCCGCTCAATCTCCAGGATCTGAGCCGCGGTCGGCTTTGAACCTCCTTGAACAAGAGACTGGTAAGTCGGTGCGAGATAATTGACCGATGCTGCCGGACGCCAATTATCATGCGTGTCCGGCCTGCACGTATGCGGCTTGTACATGGACACGAATGCCTCGCATCGCTTCTTTCTCCAGCTGACTCGAACCATGTAATTGCAGTCGCGGTTGCGACATCGGGTCATATACCGTCTTGCGTCCGATTTGTACACCCGGTACGATTCGTGCTTGGCAATTGTATGGCAAAGCAGAGCTTCGCGGGCTTCCTCCATGGACGGGTATATCATTCCGACCTCGAAAACGGCGCCAGTCCCCGAAGGACGCGGGGAAGCCTTGGAGCGTGTCTGTGCCTGTGGGGGCGGCGATTGTGAATGTATCGGCTGCCGAGCTGTTGCATTCTGCAATCCGGGCGCATAATGCGGGACTGGGGCAGGCGCAGGTTGAGGCGCTTTATCTTGCGGAGTAGATTGCGCCGGATACGGAGATCCTGGGACTGGTTGCGCTTGTGAATTGTGTATTTTAGGTCGAGTGGCATGAGGTATCGGCGGAGGTACAGGGGTTGGATGCGAAAGTTGTGTGGAAGGAGGTCTCGGAGATTGTTGGGCGGTCGAAGGAGTATGCAAAGATCTCTGGGCAGGAGTAGCTGACGATGTGTAAGGACGGTTTCGGTCCTGAGGAGAAGCTGAAGGTTGTAACTGTTTGGGATCCAACCCTCTTTGAGGATATCTCGTCGCCAATACTGTGGGTGTCAAATTTGGCATCCATACGTTCCCTCTTTGTTTTGGCCGCGTCGTGGAAGGGGTTGAAGCAGGAGTCGCGGCAGGAGTGGAAGAATTTCCGGCTGAAAGACTATTTGTTTGTCCATGAGGCGACCTGTACGGTGATGGTTGTCCAGGTTCGGCGGACATCTTGATGATTACCGGAAAAGGATAGTTGATAGTGTGGCATGGAGGTCGGGATGTCCGGGATTCTGTGGCAGTTGTTTTACTAGCATGAGATCGCGCCGATGATTGGCCAGAATGACGTCCAGTTTTGGCAATGTCACATGACACAGGGGGTACACGAGGAACAGCAAGGGGGTCAAACAAGATCAACAATACAGAGTTATAGATGAGACGAAGCCGTTCATATCACTTGGCCGGAGAATTATCTTTCTACCTGTTAATTACTTAAGAAGACTATTGGTAATTGGTTTTATCCCACTGCAGATTTTAAGACTTCTGACCATCTCTCGATTTAAGATGTCATGACAGGTTCAAACAATATATATATATTGTACAACCACCGGTACAAGTGGCTATTGACACTACTCTTTGCTTCATTAGATTCCTGTTCCTTTTTGAAGTACTCCTGTAGAATCTTAAGGCTTACTCTGGTGGTGGAGTGTAAAAGCGTTCTAATTGCACATGAATGCTCTATTTCTCTATCGAAACCATACAAACGCTCAGTACTCCAGTGTCTGCTTGATAGCATCATAAATTCCTAATATGTGTCAGTAACTGATCCGCTCATTATGAATAATAAGCAAAGGGTTGGAGATCACTTACTCGCGACATCAGGTAAGATGAGTTTCTCAAATGTAAGGCCGGTGTGGGTGCTCCAGCCAGCCACTCGCTTCACTGGAGCCTCCAGGCGCAAGAATGCGCCGTCTTGGATGGTAGCAGCAACTTCAGCACCGACGCCGTAGTTGATCATACTCTCGTGGACCACGATAGCACGTCCGGTCTTCTTCACGCTGTCCAGAACAGTTTGTCGGTCCCAAGGGTATATTGTTCGGAGATCGATGAGCTCAACGCTGGCGCCCATGTCCTTTTCGATAGCTCTGATGGCTTCTGAGCAGAGGTACATTGGTTGACCGTACGAGACGACCGTCACGTCACTTCCTGGTTTGACTACTTCCGCTTTGTTAAGAGGTATCGTGTAGAATTCATTTGGAACGTGCTCAACAGCTGCGCGGTACAGAATCTTGGGCTCCATGAAGATGACAGGGTTGTTGCTCTGGAAGATGGCGCTCAGGAGGAGGCCCTTTGCTTGTGAAGGAGACCGAGGCATGACCACTTGGACACCGGGGACATGAGCGAAAAGCGCTTCGGGGGATTGTGTATGGTATCTGTATAAGAGATCGATTAGCAATCGCCGGAGTGTACCAACGCAATGGCGTTCAACTCACAGGGCGCCGTGTCCGACCGCACCACAGGGCATTCTGACCACCATTCCCCCCACATTTACGCCTGTACCTCCCTCTCGATATCTGAATTTTGCGGCTTCGTTCACAATCTGGTCAAAAGCAGGAAAAATATAATCTGCGAACTGGATCTCGGCAACAGGCTTCATGCCTTGCGCTGCAGCTCCAATAGCGAACCCTACAATCCCTTGTTCCGTCAACGGGGTATTGAATACACGTTCCGATCCGAACTCCGTTTGCAAGTCCATCGAGCATCGAAACACTCCGCCGAATGCTACATCCTCGCCAAACAGCATCACCCTGTTATCCGTAGCCAGGGCCGTTCGCAACGCGGAGTTGATAGCTTGGTATAGATTTAGTGATTTGCTGGTGGTTGAGCCGGGGAGTTCTAGCGCGCTCGATAATGAGGACGAGGTATGATGCAGAAGAGGCGTAGATTTGTAGTCGATGGGTAGATTGAGTCGTGATGAGGATGATGGAGCGCCCGAGTACAACCGGCAGGGCGGCTGTCGTAATAACCTCTTGACAGAGGGGCGGAGAGAAGCCATGGCTGGATGGATGATAAGCGTGAAGGCAGGAGTGAGGGTGGAATACTGCAAAAAATGACCGCGAGAGGTCAAAATAGACGACTTCCCTGGAACATTCCCCTGGGCGATTTATATGGAAGTCACTCAGCTGGGGATTCCCATTTCATCATGCGGGGAATCTGGAGAATCGCCGCGGGTAGCCGAGCATGGGTGCCTGGATGCCTGGCGCGTGTTTTGGTGCCGAAAATCCTCAGGCAGCTGCTCATTGGTCAATTCTTGTAAACCGTGAAATCAACAACATCAGGATGCAGAACTTTGGCAGGAATCTGGATTTGTTGGAGAGGATTATCTTCAATCAAGTACGGTTGAGGAGGTGCTATCCACTCGCTCATTGATACTCAATTCGAGCTGTTCTGCATCTTCTCCAACATGATCCGCCTTGCCCTCTCCGCTTGGTCCTGGATATCGATATCCCAAAGCCACCGTAACCGCTCCTGAAAAGTTGTTCTCAATCTCTCCTCATCATGTTCTACTCCATCCAGGCGTAAGCACAACAGGTATGCGTTCTCTTTGCTGCTGGTTACCACCCTCTGACTGCGTGGCCGTCGTACTGCATCGTATGCCTGAAATGCTGCAAGGACATCTCTTGCTTCAATTACCCTCGGATCCCCAAGAAGCTCTGCCAGTACGTGTGCATCCTCAATTGCTTGTCCTGCTCCTGCTCCTTGGTGTGGGGTGGAAGCATGAGCCGCGTCCCCGAGAATCGCTATACGCGATCTCGCGAAGGTGGACAGATGTGGATGATCAAATATAGCCCACTGCGAGGGATCCGGCATATACTATCATGGTCCGCTATCAGCTGGAGGCACTGAAAAATGCGATGGTTATTTTCCGCATACCTCGACCAGCCGATTGACATATTCCCCCATATGCTTCATGTCCTTCCTCATATCCTCCTTGCTAGCCGGACGAACCCAAGCTGCGTTGTCCCACATATCGTGCAGGACATAGAGACCTACATTGACCTTCTTCGCGTGCATGATGGGATACGAAATCCCATATGCACCATCTCCGACATACATGGTCGCTACCCGAGCACGGTGGTCACCGACCGCTTCGACCATCGTCTCCATATCCAAGACTGCGCGATATCCGTACATTCCGCTATACCGTGGCATGGTCTGCTCATACTCATCCGGTAGCATAAACTCCTTGACTTTTGAATGGATCCCATCACAACCGACCACCGCATCCGCAGTTACAGAGGTACCATCTTCAAAGTGCAGATTCACCCCGGTCGGCGTTTCCACTAGCCTGATCAACCTTTTTCCAAAGTGCGCAATCTCAGGCGGAACCAGCCCAACCAAGGCGTCCAAGAAATCCGCTCTCCGTACGGTGGTTTGCCCTGACGGCAAGGCCTTCAAGTCCATGAGAATCTGGCCTGATTTCGGACCTGAGGCCCAGACAACTTCAAACCAAGTTTGTTTGAACCGCTCATACCCAGGACTGTCGGCATGGGTCGTGATGAGCGAATCATATACCTGACGGATCTGAGGATCAATTAACGGCATCGCACGGTGAGCTGCCGGCCCTATCGTCAAACCCAGCCCGACCTCTTTGAATTCAGGAGCGGCTTCATAGATTTGAACAGGCACATTGCGGCGCAAGAGTCCTGCAGCCAGCGCGAGGCCTCCGATTCCACCGCCTACTATTGCGACGGTAAATTGCTTTTCGGCTGAGGTCATGTTGCGAATGCGATGCTCTGCAGAGATTGTTTCTCGTATCGAGTTGTCGCCCACAGCTGGCTAAACTACGAGAGACTCGGACGAACATGGACAGTTGGACATATGCAACCTGCAGTCCAATTGCTTATGTGATCAGACGCAGCCAACATTTATTGGCTATTTTTTCAATCAACCAAGATGATCATTGTCGTCGTGAAAGTGACCGAGGGCCAATGCTAAGGCGCATACTTGAAGCATGTCAATCCCGCTAAAAGCGGGGTTGACGGACACTCTGATGGTTAAGTGCTTCTTTAAAGATTTTCCTGCTAACAATCAATATAACTGTGTGACACTGTCGAATCTGACTCACCATGTGGACATTACGGTCGTCGAGTTGCATTAAGTTGTTCCAGACTGCTAAGCATGCCGATCAGGAAAAAGGGGTTAAGGATGGATTTCTGCTATAATGATCTGAGGCCACCTCAGAGGGCATCAAATAACATTATTCTCAGGGGGACGAAGTAAATAGTCCTCAGAAGACGAGTTTAACTTAGCTAAGCTCATCCCTCAGAAGCATCCGAATTCCGACAGCTTAAGCTTGTTTCAACCTGACACCGATGGAGTCAGAACCAGCGGACTCGGTTTCAGAGTGATAAATCTGTCTCAGTGTCTCGCACTAAGTACAGAAACACAATATACAATAAACATTTCCAGTAGAGATTACGAATACGACGATCGATGGCACAATGGCCGGCTGCCTTCACTCAATATGAAGCTTAGTGCAGACTCTACTTCTGCGTGCCATCTCGAGGGTGATAGCTTATATACCAGCTTCTCGCACTCTTCCCAATCATCACTCTCGTAATCACAGTAGATCTGGATATCTACATTCATTTCGTCTTGACATTCCCGCAATAATATTCAGAATGCACTACGCATACATCTCCATTCCCTTAACCCTAGCCCTGGGGGCTACGGCCTCCATGCCCGCCGACTCCTGGGTCTTCGGCAACAGTCTCTTCTACCTCGGTCCTCCAACTGGCGCTTCCATCACAAAAGCGACCTACTCGCTCGTCCCACCGGATGTTCCTTCAGGCGTGAAGGTGTCTTCACCCTCCGACCAGGTCTGGGTCTCCGTCTGGGTGGGAGCCTCTTCCACGAACGGCGATGCGAACGCGAACTTGTACCAGCCGCTTCTGAACTGGTCTCCAGATCAAGAGTCGCAGTATGCTTCAGACTTCTGACTCTCTAAACTGGCCGCGAAGCTGATAGTGGAAATAGGGGCTGTTCAGCGAATAGCACCGAGTGGTGCGTGGCTGCTAGCACTTACACTCCTGGTAAGATTCTTTCCGACAGAACTACCTGGCTGGATGCTGAGTGTATATAGACGGTCAGGTCGGTCAAACGTACGTACCTGTGTCACGAAAGACCAACCTCGACTTTGAGAGTGAGTGCTTCACGCAGTTAAGCTAGCCAGACGAACACTAACCGGCGCAGTCTCCGTCGAGAACAACAAGGTCTACCAGACGGTCACTATGAACGGCGAGGTGGTTTCGCAGCAATCAGACGGTAAGCATCATTCACTGTCAAGTAGACAATAACTGACAGCATCAGCTCTCGACAACGGCCTTAAATATCTCTACTCCTCGAACGAGTGCTACACTGGCTCAGGCAACTGCGGCCTTTTGCAGGGTTACAGTAGGTAGTTCCTGGTCTGTGCACCCGTACGAATGAAGGCTAACAGGGCAGAAATTACCAACTTAACGGTCACACTCAGCGCTGCGGATGAATCGTTCGGCAAGACCATGGCGCTATTCTCGTGTACTGACGCTGGGTTCGCGACGACCGATAACGGCAAGACTTGGTATACGGATTATATTGCCATTCAGGAGATTGATTTTGATTCTTCGTCGGATGCCAGTGTCCAGGAATAAGTTGAGGATTGATAGTTCGGTACTCTAGGCGAACTGCTTTGGCAGTAACTCTATCTGGGCTGGGGCGAGTTATCTCGGATATGCACCTGTATATACCGATGTGTCTAATATATGTACAAAATAGAGCAAGCATAAGGATACCATGCGGTTGGTGATATCTACCAGAGAATCACCAAGTGAATATATGCGGGATGCCTTGTGGTAAACCAAGTAGGGAATCCGCGTCTCACACTGGATCGTTCTCACCATTATCATTATCACCAAAAGCTACCAGCTGATACTCATTCGGACGACGACGGCATCGGGAAAGGATCCGACAACAGCCGCAACATTGATACAAACCGAGTAACAGACCCCCAACACTAACAATAAAAGCAGCGGCCACGATCCAATTATGCAGGTCAAGAAGTTCATCCACATCGACACCTTGATCCTTCTGAAGGACTTCAGTGTACCCCAACGCATTACCCTCGGCATCCAAAGCCGCCACGCGGAAAAGCGGACTGCCCAGCTCTTCAGGAATCTCAATCTCCGTCTCGAATCCAGTCTTCGCGAACTGAGCGACCACGTCAAACGTGCTGCCCTCAACAGCGCGCGCGTCCCAGACTTCCAGCCGCCAGGCTACCACCTCCGTTGCGCCGTTCCAGCTCACGTACACATGGTCGCCCATGACCGCCGCGTCGGGGATCGTCAGCGGTCTGCCCACCCACGTACCCTTGGACGCACGATAAGACACGACCCGACCGAAAGAGAAGAATGCAGAAGCCCCGAAGTGGACGTCGCAGAGCAGATCCCCATCGGCGGTGTACTCCGTAAAAGCTGCACTGTGGCCCCAGCCAACGAGGACCCGACCACTTTCATCAAGAATCTGGACATTGCCTTGGGATACAGACCTCATTTGTTGAGGATGATAGTACGCGGCGAGCACTTCAGCGGTACGGCCGGGGATATCGAGTTGGATGACCAAGCCGCGGCTTTCACTGTCGGGATCGCTGCTTGAATGTGCTGCGTTGTCAAAGAGTGTCACTGTGTTGTTGGCGTGCCACCGGGCATCATGCTGCCAGGCGAAATTCGTCGCTTGTCCGTTAGACAGGTCCGTAAATTCGTTCAGTTTCCCGCCGAGAGTCCACAATACATTTCCAGTGGCGTGGTCGATGTAGCTGACGGAATGGAGATGTCTTGCAGAGACAATATAGTTTCCCTGTCCATCTTTGTCGACGCTATTTATGTGAAAGAAGTCGAACGCGTTATTCCTATCCTTCCCCGCACCGTCCAGTGCTTCATAACTGCTGTTGACGGGGTAATGCTTAGACGCGCGCCATTCGAAAAGCAATTCGCCTGTTTCGATGTCGATCTCTTGGAAAACCCCATCAAGGATCCAGCCGAGTCCAGGTCCTCCGATTGAAGTCAAATCCGCGGGAACAGGGTCATAGACGGTGGCAAGCGCTGTCCCCCGCTCTGTGATGTGAAACTCGTGCAAATCGCCGCCCCCGAAGTTGCCGACGGGGGATATCTGGTATTTCTGGGTGTAGGTCGAATCGAGCTGCGAAGGATCTTAGTTTTGCTTCCTTTTTTTCAATATCTGGAACACTGGATGCAGGCCAACCGACCATGTACCATGACCCGGAGCCACGGCTTTCCACTTCAGTCCCTTCCCAGTATGTCAAGTAATCTGCACCATTGTATCGCTGTACTTTAAAATCCTGCGTTGTATCCCAGTTATACTTCATCCACACCAATTCCCCATCAGCATCCAGAATGACGGGCCCAGGGTGAGCAACCGAGTCACCGCGAGGAGCAAGGAATGTGTATCGCGAATCGCATCCCGACGCCCATTCTGTGATCTCTACGATGGGAGACTCATACGCGAAAGATGCGTAGCTTCGGGAAGGACCTAAGCCGTAGAATCCCAGATCATACGGGCTTAGATCGAGTCGAAAGCGGAATCGAAGCAGTTGCGGAACAGCGAAAACATAGAACAGGTAGAGGAGACTAATGGCGACACCAGCGACGGTGAGGATGAGGCAGGAGAACCTGCTCCGTGATTTCGAATGGGGAGATGGACCAGGGAGTCTCGAGAACCGGCGACGAAAGCAGGCAGGAGTCCAAGTCCAAGAGGGCATTGGGACACGGCGGACCGACGTTGGAGACGGAGTCTGGGAAAAGCTTGCGAGAGGAGAGGATGGAATGGAGATTCACATGGTAACGTTTACTATGAGAGTTGAACCCATGGGAAGGGGGTCAAGAGCTGGAGGACTTGAGGACTTTTATCGTACTCGTTCTCGTACCCCTCTCATCATCAGGAGTCTGTCAATCTTTTCCTCGTACGCAAGGGTTCTGTATCCGCAATTCATCACTGCGGAGTCTCCAGACAACAGAGCATCGAATCCTGGACGAATCAGCCTGGAAAATGCGGCAATACTCCACACTCGCCAAGACAGCCCTCTAAGCCGCCGATGACGCCGGCCACGAGTTCTCTAAGCCGTGATTCACCCACCGGCAAATTGAACGACTCCACTCGGGAGGAGAGCTAGGCTAATGGAGCAATCAGCTGTGACTCGCCAGTTTGATCGTCCATATCGTTTAATAGTCTAGCAACAAGAATTTGAGGTTGTCGATAGGCGTGGAGTAGCCCCTTTGTGAGATGGCGATGATCACAAGAATATCGTCGAGATAGAACATGTTAGCTTTCCAGAACAGGACGAGGGGTCAGGCAAGTCAGTCCAAGATGTGCCCCAAGACTGGGGCCAAGGGGTGTCGGCTAGCCGGCGTCGTCATCATCTCGGCAAACGTAACCTCCACCACGTAAGAACCTAAGGGCGCTAGTTGAAAACTAGTTTAAGGTGCCATTTCCAAGATATCAACCTCATCATCGCATTTTGCGATCGCGATTGATGATGCCTGGCTTGTTAGCGTCGGAAGTCGGTGATCATTCATTATTTGTGAGAGGAGATCATGGAAGAATTATAGTGAAATATCTATTCCGTTGTGAAGGAACGGGGATGCATACGTAGATTGATTGTGTAAAGGCATTTGTGCAGCTGCTTAAATGTGATATCTACTGCTGCGGATGGCTCTAAACGAAATATATGCCCCTTTCGGTAAGCATCCCCGCTAATTTAGTTGTGGGCCTTGTGGCTATGCATATACGCGAAGGCCGAGTTTCGCAATCCGACTCGGTGATACTTCCATAGCCTCTTTGAGATATCAGATCGTTATCAAAGCTTAATGCCTCGCCTTGATAGGAGAGCTTGAGAAAAGTCGAGTCGTGCTGAAATATCTGGGGGATACATATCCCTGCCATCTGATGAAAGGCCCCCTTGATTATTCGCGGAATTGCCGGACTAGTTACCCTCTTTCAAAGGGCGTCACTTCAGATGATACACACGTCACCACATCAAGCCAGTGGTCTACATGGCGTATACCTCGTTACTCCACAAAGGAATGAAGCTTCTCGGGGAGAGTGGGAGAACTTATATTGTTATCGCTCCGTTGGTACAGCGTAGTTTCCCTAACGTCTGGAAGGCGCATCATTGGAACAACGAAAAGGACCAGTTTGTTATCAAACACCCGCAGTCTGATGACAGCCCCGAGAAAGGATGGCCAGCTTTTCGAAAAGAGATGGAGATGCAGAGACTCTTTCAGCCTGCAAAATTTATCCGCAAGATGGTCGATGTCATTCCCTCGCGTTCTGACATGGAACCAACAATGATGGTTTTGGAGCCGTTCGAAAAAACACTGTGGTCTGCGCGGACACGAAGACCCCTTACAACCCGCGAAATCAAGCACATCATGAAATTGGCACTTCTAGGTTTACGGGAAGTCCATGAGAAGGGTCTCGTATACTGTGGTATGTTTACACTACGAACAGTGCAGAAACAAGCTTATATGAACAGACTTCAAGATGGAAAATGTTCTTCTAAATGGATTCGATGATACTGACCCAGCTAGCGATGATGTGGCTATTCCTTTGAGGATCAATGTGAAGTTGGCGGATCTTGGTTCTGGTAAGAACTGACGAATCCAACGCTTACGGCCGAAGAGCTCCTAGGGACGACAGTTAACACATCCATCTAGTCATGGCGCCCGACCGAGGCGAAGTGACTTCCATCACATACAGGAGTCCGGAGGTCTACTTTGGCAAGGCATGGACAAGCGCCGTTGATATCTGGGCCTGGGGAATTGCAGTAAGAGACCCAACAGTCTTGAATGTGATGGATGTTCTAAGCAATGGCCCACAAAGTACTTTCAACTCCTCCAAGCGCAGATTGATTTTCATTCGCCTGGTATATACGATTCCGTAATCAAAGGAGGCCCATTCGAACAAAAGGCAGAGATGGTTCGAGCGTGTCAGTGCCATGATTTTGACCTCCGTTAGGTGGAGTACTTTCAGGATTGTGATTTCTCCGCTGTTGACGATCAGGGAGTAAAAGGTGGCCTGAATTCCGGCGACGAACATTGGACCGATCGCTTGGTAGCATTAGGGATTCCCGAGTATGATGTTGTCTTCCTCTACGCCGTCTTACAACCCGACCCAACGAAGAGGATGACAGTGGATCAGATCCTAGAAACAGGGTACTTAGATGTCTACTGAGCTCATAGCGCAGTCTTATTCTGTCGGCTCGTCAAGAGGGGGAGCGGAAGCAACCCTTGGGCACAGAACATGGAAGGATGGGGAGAATGAAGAAGTTGGAAAACCTTGATCGTTTGCAAACCTGGCGTTGGATGAGGAGTTCTTACCTCGAGAGTCGAAGGTTTCACTGTCTGCTGGAGTGTCGTTTCTTGCACCACTGGGGACACATGTGGCCGTTACAAGCTTGCAGGCGGCGTTGCCGATCTGAGATGAATCTGTGCCAGCATGTCAGCGAACTTGCATTTCACTTATTTTCGTTATGTCGCCGAGACAATGCTGGAGCCGGGATGGTAAATAGAGAAAAAGCCCGAAGTATCGGCTTCTTTCGGTTGGTGTAACAGCAGATCATCCTTGCACCAAAAGCCACCGGCCAATTTTGTTGACAGGGATTGAAGAATATTCCTGGAGACTGGTTGAATTAGTCAGGGAACAAGAAAGAAAGCCGGTTTGTCAGAAGAGGAGTTCAATAAGTCTCATCAACATGATTCGAATTGAGTATGATGATGGAGACTGAGCCTGGGAGGCTGCGTAGGGTCGCACGAGTCCTGAGAGTGACCATGAGGATACACCCTCCCTTTGTCTAACGAGATACGTGGCAATTCGCTCTTCAACGAAGAAAGGGCAGAGATATGCAAGGCTTGGAGATGACTCCGTCACGATAGCTTCATGCATTTAGCACCAACTGGAAGAGATAGATCTGAGGCAATTCGAGCATTCAAGAGACCAAGTCAGGGCCAATTTCGCTAGCAGATTCAACGTTATCTACAAGAATGGGATCAACAGTGGACTAGACGTTAGACTTAGGTAGAGACGGAGAAATGGTTAGATTCGATAAGTTGCTCAGTAGGAGCCCAAATATGATGATGTAGGATAGCATGTAGGAGATAAGCAAGAGGCGACAGAGATATGCGAGCCGTTGTTTCATGAAATGCTGCGTACTGAACATGATATTCTCATTCTGCGGTACTCTTGTTCTTCTTGGACAACTAGTTCTACACGCGAACGTGGAAAAGGGCTATAGTAACGAGCATTTTCACGTGTTGTCGTCTCTGGAGGAGAAACAGTGTGTATCATTCTCCCTCTACAGGTCATAGACTAGCATCGACTTCATCCACAACCATTACCTTGATACTCCCATTGCATGGATCTGCACACAAATGCAGAGCATCCTTCGCCCTCTCCAAGGGAAAGACATGCGATACTATCTTCTTCAGGTCCAAAATCCCACCACTGAGGCAAGCAATGGCGGATGGCCAAGTGTCCCGATATCGATTGATGAACCGCAGATCAATCTAGCCATCGTTAGCAACGATTCGCCCAAGATTCCGAGTGAATATCACCTCTGCAAGAGACATATGCATAAAGGGCAGATTATTCATAGTCGCCTTACCAACACCAATCACAACAACCACACCACCCCGGCGCGCAGTATACGCCGATGTGCAAATACTGCTTTCCACCCCCGTGCATTCGAGCACCGTCTCTGGCGCAACGTACTCGCTGTCTCCGAAGAGTGCCCTGATAGCGTTTGCATTGCCCTGCGCATTCTTCGCGAGATCAACTTGATATGTAATACAGCTCGGCACAATCTCTTTCGCGAACGCAAGCCGCATCGGCTCAACGTCCGTGATGACAATCGGGTGGGCGCCTGATGCGCGCGCTGCAGCAAGAGCAATGAGACCGATGGGTCCAGCGCCGCAGACTACGACTCCCCGGCCGAGATTTAGGCGGGCCACTTGGATGCCGCGCATGACGACAGAGAGGGGTTCGAGGAGGGCTCCTTCGGCGTAGGAGAGGCCGTCTGGGAGTCTGGAAAAACGTTAAGCTTAGCTTGCGCGAGACAGAAAGTGAGGCAACGTACTTGTGCAGCCACTTTGCAGGATGGACTTTGTATCGTTGCAATGTCCCTGCGTACGGATAGACTCCCGCAAACTGTACGTCTTCGCATAGGTTATACCGGCCATCGTTGCAGAGGAAGCATTGTTCACATGGAACGCCGGGTTCGACTGCTACCCTGTCTCCTTGGAAGTGTTAATGTAAGTCATATATTGGAATATGTGCTATCACCTGGCTTGAGTTGGGTGACGCCTTCACCGCATTTCAAGACTACGCCGGCCGCTTCATGGCCGATAATGCAATCCCCCTCGAATACTAGCTGGCCGATTCGACCTGTTTTCCAGAAATGGATATCGGATCTACATTGCAAAGGTCAGAACATGTATCGTCCAGGCTGATGGACCGTCTTACCCGCAGATTCCAGTAGCCTTTATTTGAAGAAGGACTTCCCCGTGTCGGGGAGCGTACACTGGAGCTTCGACAAACCTGAGTTGGTGGTCTGCTGTGACCTGCAACGATGGGTTGGGAAGCGGAGTTTGGATGATCTGGTGGTCGTTAGACGGGGGTTTCATTGATGCGACTACATCGTCTGAATTCAATTCTGTGAGGAGGGGCGGCGTCATCTTAAAATTAAATGTATAAGTGACTATTTCGCAAACAAAATAGAACGTGGAGGACTTCCTAGAATGATTTATACGCACGCTGTAAACTCCAGGGAACCGACATGCGGGGTAACGGTCTAGAGCACGACGGGAGGAAGCTATACGCCTCGAGTCGATTCGACCGTCCATTATCCATATCGTAAGATACTAAAATGTACAAGTCATTTGACAGTATTTGGGCCGATTTTGGTCTTTTTGACAAATAGCACGTTTCCTCTTTCGGCACTGCGTGCCTCAAGTTGCCTATTCGGGTAATGAATCAATCAGAAGGGCTAGTGTATCTCTCAGACTAGTAACAGGGCCTCTCTGCGCAGGGTTAGCTTTCTCATAAGAGCTCCAGCAGTTGACACAGCACATCTGACAATATCACAGGCCACTGACCCTCTGATTTACAATTACTGGGGTAAGGATCAACCTGGTCTAAGCCCAACCCCGACAATAAACACGCTTGCTGTCTGAAACAAGCATAAAACGCCTACTGACTTGGCAACTCGATTAGGCAACTTTATTTATTGGATGTAAGATCGAATAGAGACCTCCTGCTGACTTGGCAACCCAGATTAGGCAGCACTATTTATTGAACTTAAGATCTAACAGGGACCTCCTGCTTCGTAAACATTCTGACATATACACCCGAAAGCGGTTACCATGATGGAGAAACTTGAACATCGACCAGATAATGCTTTTGTCAATGTTCGAATCACTCTCATTGTCATCGCCATCGTCTCTTTTCCCTTCAACCTAATTGGCATCTTTACCGCAAATGTCCAGACTGCTTCGATCAACCAGCTAGTAGCTGTAAGTACAGCCATCCCTATACCATTCTTTCATGGCATGATTAACCGTGGATACTTTACCATTAGCTGAGCAGCTCTGGCCTATCATCTATTATATTGCTCCATCGGTACAGGCGATATCCAGCATTGTCAAAATCCACCGCTGGCGTGAAAGTCATCATTACCGATCTTTTCTTCGCAATATACCTCACAGTGATATACTTCACTATGCTCATCGTTGCCGGGTCCGTGAGCAAGTATGTGGTCTGTGTGTATGGTAATCTAGCATGTCTTGTCTCGGGGTAAGTCCCAATAGCTACCTATCCTGTCTTCTCATGGAAGCTAATGAAACTCTCCAGTCTTTTCCATACATACGCGGTCTTACAGGCTGCTATTGTCAGATACAAGGCTTATTTAGCCCGCGTGGCTCGGCCGAAAATTGTCGCCTTCTGTCCCGCCTGCTCCTGTACGTCGAATTATCATATCATGGATGGAGATCAGGAGACGGGTGTGGCTGTTCTTACGATGTCGCCAGAACTCATCGATACCGAGAGTGATCCTCTCATGGGCGGTGGTCGTGCTCCGTTCCGAGCTTCCGAGGATACTGCGGTCAGTCTTGGGAGTGAGGTTACTGTAGAGACATTTGATGGGTCTTTGGCAGAAGTCCAGACGAAGTGAACTGTTGTTATAAATACCGTATTTCTGGAGTACTATAGTCAGGCTCGTATGTATGTCAGATGATGTCCCCTTCGTGAGGAAGGGAGAAAAAGGCAGAGCATATCATTTATCGACAGGACACTCTGCAGCGGAACACACAATTGTTGTGGCATAGAAGTGGGAAGCTATACCAGCACTCAATCATCACGGAATTCTATTGCCCGTCTGAGGCGCAACATAGTCCCTCGTCACATATAACCGTTCAAGGGCTGACTTTGGAACCTTGGAAAGCTTCGTTCAACCCTCTACCACCTTGATCTTGGCGGTTTTGTCAAATGCCAAAGCGGCCTGCTTAATCTGAACACCATGTAAGCCGGTTTCCTTACGCGCAATGATGACTACAGCATAGTTGCAGGTTCAGCATACCTCTTCAAGCTTTTGAACCGACTTGTCAATGTTCGTTGTAATCCATGCCTTCCGCCATTTCAGCCCTTGGGCATCTACCCCCTCCTGTATACCCGCCAGCTTGAGTCTTAGTTTGTCAAAGTTGTCCGCTTGGGTCTTGAACAGCTCTTGTAGTTCCTCCGCGGCCTCAAGAGCCTTGGCCATCTGGGGAACCAGCGTCTCCATGTGTAACAGCAAGGCTCTCACCATGGTGATGTACCGCCTCACATCAGTTTTCTCCTTGGTGTGCGTCTTTTCAAGCTCCAGCATTTCGTGGTACTTCTTTTCGGCCAGGTTGTATGTGTACGCGTCCATAATGATGCCAATTATATCCCCCTCGGCTGCGGCAAACGCCGTAGGTTCATGTTTCGACTGTTTGAAGTGAGCTACCTAGCTGTCGAATCATTGGAAGGGAAATCTAACCATCACGTCTCTTTCGTACGAGGCTCTCTCGATTTCCTTTTCAATTTCTTCCTGAAGGCGAATGATTTCCGCATCCAAGAGCTTGGTGAATGGCTTGATTGGTTGGCCGTTCTTGTCGATTCTTTTCTCCTTGGTGATACGATCTATGACAGGTCCATCACGGAACTGCTGTTAGAGTAGTTCGGCTTCTTGTTTGTCCTTGGATGTCTTGACTACAAACTGGATTGGATTGTTAGCGTTGGTGTAGAAATTGGCTTGTGAAAATCGTTGACTTACAGAAGTCAGTAATGTGACAACTTCCTGTGTATCTTCCTGTTTCTCCTTTGCTATCGCTCTCAGGCGATTCAGGACCATCGTTGCGCCTTCTAGAGCTTCTTTAAACTCGTCATCCTTCGGCTGTGTTTTATACTTTGGATCAAGAAGGATAGGAATTTGATCTTTGAAACTTGTTTCTCCTTCCAACTTCAACAGGCCCATGGCCTCTTCAGCATATGTGATCGTCCCACTTGCCAATGTTGCTATTATCTCATGTTCAGAATAGAACATCTATTTGATAGTTAGGAAGGGGGTGATGACTCACTAAGCCGACCAAGTCCTTTTTCAACAAACTCCTCGCAGTGTTGCGCAATAGCAACAACCGTATCTCGAGTGAACTAGCTTTAATTAGTGGCATAAATACGCCTATCTCTTGTGGGATGTAGACACTTCATGGATTCCTGCATCAATGTCTTCCAGCACCTGCACCCCCTTCTTGGGATAAACACTTTCAAATTTCCTGTCGGAATCTGGGAAGCGAATGCCTCCCAGAACATATAGCTGGAGATCTGTAACCGTTAACTCTGTAGTCCGTCCTATCCGAGGTTCAACGAACCATAATATCCTTTGGTCCTGAGGATAAATGACGAAGACTCTGGATCCCCCTTTACAAATGAGTTTGGGCCTTCTATCAAGACTTTGCCAAAGGCGTCTTTGATAGCCTTGTCGTCCTCGCCCACGGGGTGCCACTCGTCGTCGAGGATTTCAGGCATTTTGGTCACTGGCTCGCTGAGGATACTGCAGACTGATAACAATGATCAGTAGATTAGATACAATGCAAAAAAAGAGCATCAACTCGAAGCAATGGGTGATTGTTATAGACCTCGGATTCCTGCAAGCGCTGGCGATGACCATCCTGATGCATGTGGCGGGGTGAAGCTGTGCGCGGGGCTATCCTATTGTAGTGGGGTTGATCTTCATAGCTAAAGACAAAATTGTGATCTATGCATCCATCATTCGTGTTGTCATGATCATGGTTGGTCATCTTGCTGTGGCTTACTTGCTCAGGCCTCTTCTCGGGCAGTGAAGGACCATTGCTGTATTATTCCTGCAAGCGAGGGAAAAGAAAATGCCTGTCAATGTCGTCAATCACTGGATCACTTCTTCAGCCCATTTCAGCTTGATTTGATCGTTTATGTTCATTTCAGTCAAGGGAATGTAATGATGTTAATAGTAACTTGGTTGAGGGTGATAGTCTTGTAATGAGGGGATATCTCATGTTTTGGTTGAGAAGCTAATTAACTACTGCGCTCTTGCTATTAGGATTCTTGGTAGTTATATCAGGGCCTGCACCATGTTACTATTCACGTCCAACTGCAGATTAAGTGGGGTAAACACATTCCACATCATCGTTAATGTAGAATCGGGTCAATGGCTTGATCATTGTTAAGATATCTAAGGGACAAAGCCTCGACTGTCACAAGAATTTTCTCACTCTCATACTCACATGCTCCCACAGGTCTCCCCGTTCTTGGACTGGGCAAGTTGAATCTGTATCTAAAGTCTTATCGTGGTTTCATAAAGAAATCTGTCCAGCTTGACCATGTCTCAGTCTCCTCAAGGCAACCCTCTAGAGATTTCTCATCGCACATGGCCAAAATTCCAGATCACCATCATCAGCAAAGATGCGACGCCCTTTCCCTCATTTTCCGGCGATGCCATCAAAGAAGGGCATTCCGACAAGATTCTACTGTCCGATATTCGAAGTCATGCAGGAATGTAAGGAGATGCCCTAGCTGAAAGGTTGAGTACTTATTCCTGACCAAAACAGCTCCCAGAAGCTAAAATTTACCGCCGACGACACCAGTTTCGTCAATGATGGCATCACACTTGCCTATTATATGGCTTTGGCAGGCGAGGTATGAAACGAATCGAAACGATAGGTCCATGCAACTCATGAAGGGTAGACAAAAGTCAAAGGCGGCAACAAGGAGCCCTCATCCGACGGGACGATTGGCGTAGTCAAAGTCAAGCTCCTCCCAAGCAGTGCCGAGAGCAAGCCAAAGGCACCTGTTGAGCCCAGCAAAGAACTGCAAGAAGGTGTCAAAGATATTCTTGCGCAGATGGGCGACAAGAATGGCGCTCAGGTGGCAGACGTCGAGGGGCTCTCCAAACGGCTGGGCAAGCTTGCTGCCAGTTCGATGAATTTTGCTACTGTCGCTGGGTAAAACCCCTTGTCTGGAGCTTTCAGTCTTTCCAATGTGATGATTATGCTAACTACATGTTCTGTGTAGTTCGGAGAAAGCAAGCGATCCAGAGGATCTGACTGAGAGCCAATGGGCTCGGATTTTGGCAAACAACCGTGCGCTGCATGGCTATTATCTGAACGGTGCCAATGGTATTATGCGGAAAGCCCCCAAGAGAGGTAAACTAGTACCAAACACTACTCCCGGCAATGCTCCCCTGTTAACTTGTTGAAGCGTTCAATCTTGCGCCTAGGAAGGGCGACAATACCACGACCAATGTGAGGTCCACCATTTGGCGTCTCTATGTTTGTAACTGACATCTTCCTTGAAGCCTTTGCCTCCATTTCCTCCGTTCTATGTCCACGATGAGGCCGATGTCGAGGTGACAGAGACGCAGAATGCTTTTCAGACCATATTAGCAAGACAGGGTTTTAGTGCAACTGTGGTTAAAGCCGCTGGGTGAGTACATCGGATCATCAATGCGTTTTCTAACATTTTGTATAGTGCAGTTGGAGGTAGTGAAACCCTGGGCAGCACGGGATCTATTTCAAGGGCGTCGGAGGAAGAGCATTCAAATGCCTCGAAAGACACCGTAACCAGTACTTTTGACAACCTACACATCTCATACAAGGTCAGCCATGACTTGAAGAAACATACAGAGAATAAACTAATACTTACGATAGTTTCCCCGAGCTGTGGTCGAACTGGATGCTTCCTGCCTAGAACTGACCCCAGAATGCATCAAGCAAGCCCAGGACACAAAGACACCAGAGGATGTCAAACAATTCTTCCGCGACTACGGTGAGATCTTTCAGATCATCCTCAACCGATGCTGATGAAGCATTAGGAAACGTCTTCGCAGCAACCTTCACCCTCGGTGGGGAACTGCATAGCACCCGAAGTCTGACCACCACAGAGAAGCAGAATCTAGCAGCCACAAAAGACAACGTGAAGACAGCCGCGGGATTCAGCCTGTCGAGTCCATACGTTTCTGGAGGAGTCAGCGGTGGCTGGGTCGATTCAAGCAACAAGAATACAGCAGATCAACAGCTGCGTCAGAGCCTGCGGCTTGCATGGCATGCACGAGGCGGGGACACGATTCTTTGCTCTAAGTGAGTCTTTAGGTCTTACCAGAATGGGATACTCTTTGCATTTTCTGACCTTGCCTTCTATAGTCCCCCGCAATGGGCCGCCACCGTCCGGAATCACAATTACTGGCGCATCATTGATGTGAGTTCCTCGCTGTGCAAGTCACTTCTAGATGATTGAACTAATAGATCTTGGGTTGCTACAGCAAGAATGCCTCGTCAACATGCACAAGTTCATCGAAAAGATCGATACCGGCGTAGCTGACCATCTAACATCGCCCGGGCAGAGGCTGCGGCTTGGCGATGACGCTCTAGCAAGCAGGATACGCGATATTCTCCGGCAAGTGTTTGCCTCTGGCGGCAATACTTCGATGGGACGGATAGGAAACGACGTCAGAGCGTTCTTTGAGAGCGAGAGTTTTACGTGTGAGCAATATAATGCTGCGCTGGATGAGGATGAGGAAGAGAGCAAGTGGGAGGAAAAGAAGAGTTGGAAGGAGCTGACGTTGGAAGAGAAGTGTAATGTTGGTTTCATTGCGTATCAGTTGGGGATCATTAAAGTCCATTAATGTTTTGGTTGGAACTTAATGACTCTAGTCTTACTTGAGAGCTTGTAAACTCGCGCTTATGAGCGGTCTCCCTCTGCGACCAATTGCTCCCACTGTACCCATCCATTCGGGTCCATCTCAAAAGACAGGATATCATGAAACTCGTAAGAGTCAAGACTTCCGAAGCCAGGGAGACTTTCATGTCCATTGTATTGTACTTGGACGCAGCCGAGCGAAGTTTCAGCAACAGGACCACGGTCCGCAGCCAGAGGTTCGGTACGAGATGGATCGCCTGTTGACCTGATCCTCCCACGAATCTCGTTGATATACTCAGGCGTCGATGGTTCCGGCAGCCCCTCAGCCTTCGAAGCGGCAACATAGTGGTCCCAAACCTCCAGCGTCCACTTGCGAAGCACCGTATCCACCGGTGCAGGGGTTCTGCCAAAGATCCGAGGGCAGGAGAACACGACTCCGATCAACTGCCACGACCGGTCCACCTCTGGCCCGGTTCTGCGATGTCGAATTTCGATCAGCATATAAAGCATTGCGTTCCACAGCGCGCTTGTGCCAATCTGCCACGTGTATTTCTCCAGACCGCGATGGCCACCTTGCACCAAGGTTACATATTCCAACAGTTTTGAGGCGTTGGCGAATACGATGCCGCGCTCAGCTTGAAGATCTTTCGGGGGACTGCGGGCGAACTGGCGCGGGTTATGAGCAACGAGCTTCATCTTGCATATGGAGAACCGGATCATGATGGATACGAACGTATGGAGCGGGTTTGCCGGGTCACAATACCGCAAGTATTTTCGTTCTAAATGATCCTCGATTTGGCTGATGATATGGTCCTTTTTGGCGGGAGGGACATTGGGCCCCAGTAATACTTCCCAGCGCATATCGGCAGGAGAAGATGTTGAGAAGTCATGCAAAGAGACCATGATCTCGTGTCTGATGAGGCAAAGGGAGATATGGGTGATGCCGTGGCGTTCAGGCGGCAGGTCAGTCATGTCTGGATGCAGATCCTCGTCATCGACATTGAGTGGCGTTTTGGTGTCCGCGCAGGAGATATCCATTGACGGTCTGGTCCCCAGCACATCGGCGATCCGAAAGTCCACATGGACCAAATGCCACCATAGTCGTCTTCGCATTTCTGCGTCAAACGGCGAAAGTCCGAGGAATGAACCATCACGGTGGAGTCCCATTTTGCGTGCCAGCCGGATGGCGACGCCGGACAGGACAAATAAAGTGTCGCATGAGTAACTCTTTCGGACACACATCTTCATCTGTTAGTCGCCGTGAACTGGGCTGGATAGCTATCTTTACCATGAACAATACATATGCCTGAAGAGTCAGTGGATTGGAGGTTGACAGGAATCTGGCATTGATCAAAGCTTGCCGAGTTGCGAGTCTATAGCGGGAATAGATGACCGATTCCGAGAGTCCAAATAGATCCTGGCACTCGTCTTCGTTGAGAGTACTAACGACCGCCAGGTAGAAAGCGAACATGATAGCCTCTATGCTTTTGGATCGCTCCTCCGGATGCCGCAGCCCATTCTCTAACGTAGTCGAGAATGTCGGAAGATGCAGGATTTTAACCAAAGGGTCAACCCGATCGGCGTATATATCCCTTAGCTTTGGCAGTATCTGCACAGACGGATGGAGGCTTGCAAGATTTTCGACTTTCTCGTTCAGTCCGAAGAACAACCCATTTTCGTCTGAAAACGATTCATCCACAGGTCCACCGACTTCTGGATGTTGAAACTAAACGACGTTAGACAAGACCGAGGTAGCCAGAAGGAAAGCGAGGACTGTGCCTACCTCGCCGCCGAAAATAGACCAAGGTGCACTGCACGATATCAGACGCTGGGAGCTACGCTAGAAGGGAAAAGCGCAACACACCTGTCAAAGTATCTAGATACGCCTTCTCGGATGATGAGTCTTGGTTTCGTCTCCTCGAGTGTGGACTGTGTGGTGTCGACGGCATTGGCATCCTCGTCCATGCACGCATCAGTTTCGGATTCAGAGTCATCGAAATCATCGGATGGCTCAGATCTGATGCCGTGTAAACTCAGCAGTTTCTCGTACCGTTCCAGTTTGGCGTGCAGACCTTCTCGGGGAGGTTTCGTTCTTTTTCGTTTCCTGCGCACCGGGGGAACAAAGCTGCATTGCTTGTCGGCCTTGATGCAGTTGCAACACGGAGCACGCCGGTCGCATTTGACCTTTCGCTGCCGACAAGTCAAGCAAGAGTAGCTCTTAAAATTTCCGTCGTCTGTAGACCGAGTCATTGTTGCATATTCTGCGTGGGATCAGGTACGTGTCGGGGTAGTTGAAGAAAAGAAGAGAAGAAACAGCGCTCGGGGTTCGGATACAAAAAAAGATTTTTGAGCCCCGAGCAGCGAGTGGTACACTGCCATATATATAAATAATACTCATATATTTTCTCACGATTCATTAATTATTCTCGGATGATTCAAATTACCCTCAGCTTGAGTAAACTCCATTGATCTTCTTTCAATTGTTCGCCACTGCTTGTTATCAAGTACGATGATGCCTCAAGAGAAGCCGATCAACGCGGCCAAAGACCAGGACAAGGATGACATTGTCTACCCAACTGGCCTCAAGCTGGCTCTGCTGATAACTTCCATTTTCATTGGTATGTTTCTGGTTTCCCTGGTGTGTTGAATCCCATCCCGTCATGATCGACTCTCTATACTGACCACTGCAGGACCGACTCATTATCTCGCCCACGATTCCCCAGATCACCGACGAGTTTCACTCAGCAGGAGATATTGGCTGGTATGGCACAGCGTACCTGCTCACCAACTGTGCTTTTCAGCTGCTGTTCGGGAAGATATACACTATATTCAGCATCAAGGCCACCTTCATGACGTCCATTGTCCTGTTCGAAGTGGGTTCGGCCCTCTGCGGCGCGGCTCCAAACTCGATCGGATTCATTCTCGGCAGAGCCATTGCTGGCCTGGGTTCTGGAGGTGTTTCTGCGGGTGCCATGACAATCCTCGTGTATGCGCTTCCACTGCACAAGCGGCCTAAGTATCAGGGGGCCTTTGGGGCTGTGTTTGGGGTCGCCTCGGTGGCGGGCCCGCTGGTTGGCGGTGCCTTTACCACCAACGTCACCTGGAGATGGTGCTTCTATATCAATCTTCCCCTAGGAGCAGTGGTAATTGTGGTAATCCTTCTATTTCTTGAAATCCCCGACTGTCTGAACACCCAGAAGCCGTTGAAGGCGAAGCTGCGTCAGCTGAACGGTCTGGGAATACTTGCCATTATTCCTGGGATCGTTTGTCTTTGCTTGGCTCTGCAGTGGGGAGGTACAAAGTATGCGGTAAGTCTCATTCATAGTGACCTTCTTTTGCCGGGTATTGACCGCGTCTAGTGGAGCGAGGGTCGGATCGTCGCGCTGCTGGTGCTGGCCTTCCTGTGTCTGATCGCGTTCGTCTTGATCCAAGTATGGAAGCCAGAGCAGGCAACGCTGCCACCACGCGTCTTCCTGCAACGGAGCATCGGCTCCGGTCTCTGGGCGAGCTGCTGTCTCGGCGCACATATTATCTTGTTCGGTGAGTCGGCTGGATTTCAAACCTCACTGGTGATCCGCCTGCTAATGGCCGACAGTGTACTATCTTCCCATCTGGTTCCAGGTGATTGACGGCGTCTCAGCCGTCGAGAGCGGCATCCGCCTCCTCCCTATGCTGCTTCCACTGGTGGTAGCGTCCATTCTCACTGGCCAGCTAGTCTCCCGCATCGGCTACTACACGCCCTTTCTGATGCTGGGGATCGTCCTCTCCTCCATCGGCGCCGGTCTGCTCACCACTCTCGGGGTCCATACATCAAAGGCCAAGTGGATTGGTTTTCAGGTGCTGTACGGCTTCGGCCTCGGTACCTGCAACCAGATACCGAACATGGCGGCGCAGACAGTACTCCCCCGCGAGCAGGTGGCCATCGGCGCGTCGCTCATGTTCTTTGCTCAACAGCTCTTTGGCGCGGTCTTTACGTCGGTCGGCCAGAACGTGCTCAGCAACCAGCTGGCCAAGCGTCTGGCGATCAGTTCGCAAGTGGTCCAGAATACAGGTGCCACCCAGCTCCTCGAGCATGTTCCTGTCGACGACCGTGCTGCGTCGCTGGGGGCTTATAATGACTCGCTGCGGGTGGTCTTCCAGGTTGGTCTCATTATGGCTTGCCTCGCCACCCTGGGTGCAGTGAGTATGGAATGGCGTACTGTCAAGAAGAAGCAGCTGCCTTCCACGTCTGACATCAACGACGGACAGGCTGAGGAGGGCAGCACACCAGGTGATTTAAAGAAGGAGGAAACCTTTGGCGGGCGAACAGGATAACCAGTCAACGACGGACTACAAGCGGGAGACGGGAAATTGAATATTAGATACATCATAAACTGTGATGAACTGTACAATAGTGAATAGAGGCATACCAGCAAATGAAGATATTGTGTCCGCGTGTGGAGCACACCCGCAAATCAGCGCCACAAAGTGACAAGCCAATAGAATCATTATCCCCCAGCCACGCGCCTGTTATTCTCTGTTAAAACAGGCTCTTTCGCTCCCAGGCACTAGGGCTGCTGTACCCAATAGGATGCAGTATCGCCCACATGTTGACGGGCGAGTGGATGCCGGATGATCAGATCAGGATCAGCAGCCAAGATAAACCCCACGTCGGAGAGTGAGGATGATCTTCCAAGGTGACGGGCGAGTTATTCTCACGACTCTCATCAACATCCCCTGAAAGGGTTACAGAACCACCGTCAAAATGCAACCCAAAGCAGATAAAGATGCACATGCATCATTTCCAGCAGGTAAACAGGCCTCGGACGAGACGGAGCATCTGCTCCCGCATGATCCACCAGAGGAGATAAATATCTGGGGGTCGCCCAGACGACCCCGTTCCTGGTGGGCTATCGTCGCCATCTCGCTGCTGCTGTTTACCATGACTGTCCTGTCGCTGGCTGTTTTCTTCACGCTGGGCTTTGGCGCAGGCGCTGCGCCTCATGT